AAATTCTATGCTAACAGTTTCTTTTCTCGAACTTCCCGCTTGTGGAACTTCCTTCCGTATCCATGCTTTCCAGCTAACTTTAATCTTCAAAAATTTAAATGCAATGTCAATCGCTATCTACTGACCACATGGTTATTCTCTTCTCTTTGTGCCCATCATTGTTGATTCTGTTCCTAATTCTTCCACACCCTGTAACCCCTTGTGTTTTAGTGGCTGTACTGCTTTGCTTGGGTTGATATCGATTAAAAAGAAAAACTTTAATATTCGGCCAAAGACACCACAGCACCCCCGAGCTTGCGAAAAAGGCTAGCATTCCAAATTCTGTCAAATGCTTTCGAGATTCGCAATTATCATCTAAAGATTAATAAGCAAATTTAGTAAAACCCGTTAGCACATTGGTAGTTGACCTAGAGAAGTGAAAGCCATAATGTTTATCTGAAAGAAGGGCCTTCAAATTAAAAAAAAGGTGAGAGAGACGATTATATCACGCTTCCAAGTTGGTGGATATAGCGTCATGAAAGTGTGAGTTTCGCTCTTTGGCCTTCAAAACAATTATTATTTACTGATATTGTCACAAATTTAAATACAGTAAGGTCTTTAGATTCATATTGGAGGCACGGTGGAGCAATGGGTAAGGACTTTGAGTGAGAAATCGAAGAGCTGTGTTTAAATTTACGTGCAAATACCCAGGGTTAATTCCACCTCCCCCAAGCTGACATCATTTAAACGGAAAAATTAGATTTTTTTAAACACACTTCAATATACGATGCCCAATGTTGAAAGTTACATCATTTAATGTTGGCTACTTCTCTTTTATTACAACAATCTCCAGTGTTTTAAGTCTTTTCTTTGCAACATAAGATTTTCGTGTTAATGCTCAAGTAAGAAAAATGCAGGTATCCGGAGTACATAGCAAGAAGAAAGGATAAGAGAGGGAGCAAAAGGCTGGTTAATTTGTTGGAAAACACCAGATAAAAGATGGAGAGATCACATCGGCTTACAGCTAACAAATGTTATTACACATTTAACAGTGATTGTTATCGTAGAGAATAGCACATTCACATTTTTCATGTAAGTAGTTGGCAAATGCTGCCGATAAAGGCTTGGTCTAGTTTAGATTTTTGAAAACTTGCCATTGTTGAAATATAATCAAGCGAAATGCAAATGAAAGCAAATTTATTCAAGATTTAAATAAATTATTATATTTTATTTTTCTCCAGATTTTTCAAATATTCATTTTTCAATTAAAACATCATACATTTATTTATATCGAGAAAAGATGTTATTGAAAATTTTAACCTGATAAGAATTCTGTAGATTATCTGTATATTTTTCAAAAGTTATTACGCCTCCTGTAGAGTCTGTCGTGCCCGAGTAATTTTTTTCTTTTTCCTTTAAATCTTCGTTGTCACTACTTCTCTTTGATCTGCTTGTATGGCTGATGACAACATTTTATATACTCTCTGCTTTGAATAAAACATTTTATTATCATTTTAAAGCGCAAAAAAAATAATGGCAAAAGGAAAAGATAACACTATAACGATAACAAAAGAAAAATCGAAAAGACGAAATAAAACGAATACTACTACTACTACTACTACTAATTTTGCAGTAATTGTCTTCACACTCCTATTGTTTAAAATTTTCAACTTTCACTTAAAATCTCTTTGTTGCAACTGCTGCTGATGTTCCTATAATTAACTGGCCAAAACAGTGATGGCAGGTATGAATTTGTATGAAAAATGACTGGTAACTGATACACCAGTTTATAAAACATTTAATCGAAAAACGTATTATCACGTTGTCTATTCAGAACATTTAGGTGTTCTAAAATTACAGGAATGTAAAAAACGGGAGATAGTAGATATATAATTATTATTATCATCATTATTATTATTATTATTATTTTTATTACTATTATTATTATCATTATCTTTACTGATATTGTCACAAAGTTAAAGCAATTTGTTTGATATAAAAATTGCTTTTATCAAAATGTAAATTCATCATTTGTTAAATAAATGATTGTATTTGATAGCCAACCACTAATGTGTTTCTGAATTTTAAATTTGGACAACACATTTTTCATATGGGTAGAGGAAGATTTCAACTTTACATATGTAGACGACATACAAAAAAATAATAGCGAAAGTTGCATTGCAAAAGCTAAACAAAGTATTGAGAAATAGGAAAATTTTGCTAGAAACAATGGGAAACTGTTGGCAGTGAATTGAGGACAATTTTCACACAGATAAAGAAGAGACACAAGAAGGATACTGAGAATACCATTGACGGAGCATGTGAGCAAGTAGGAACTTTAAAAAAAAAGCAAGCAAAAAGGACACTTATACTTTGAATTAGAAAGAAATATTTAAAATTTCTCTGTCAAATAATAAAGAAATATGTATTTGAGAGTTTTCACTCACGGGACATCGAAAGCAAAGTGTACAGAGGAAAGCATTGAGTAACCCACTTCAAGAGCTTGTGTAACTGAATATCGGAACAGAGAGTTGAAACGAGAATAAAGACACAAATGCTAGGAAATTGCGGAGAGCCATGACTAGGACATGGTATATAAAAGAAAACAAGAGAAACACGTTTTTTTAGGCATTACAAACGGAAAGTAGATTTCCTCAACTTAACTGAAATAATCTAAACCAAACATTTACGCAAGACAATATGCAATTTACATGGCAAATTTGGAAAGCATCGGATGAAAGATTAAGAAGTTATGGCCAAAAAACTGGGTTTTTTAACAGTTTTTCGTGTTTTTTCCCTATACGCATGGAAGTGAGCATGACTAAATCCACAGTATTCTTGCATGATGGCAAATTTTTGCAGCATGTTTGAAGAAAACCCGATAAAAATGAGCAAGTTATTCAAGTTTTTATTTGAAGTCGTACGAAAAACCTGATTTTTTCAGTTTTTTGCAATTTTATGTGTGAAGCCAATGTCGCAGGAAAACTATCAAGCACTCTAAATAAACCTCGTAACATGAGCTGATGTTTTGTATTAGGTGCAAAGAACTCACCAGTAAAAATGTTGTTCGCGTGTAATTTTGCCTTGGTTTTTGTAAAAAGTCGCACCAGCTTCAGTATTATCAATTTTTCTGCCAAACCCAAAGCGCAGGGGTGGTACTGGACTTTGAAAAGTTGGTCTTGACTTAGAATTCTAAATTTGCAACTTGTGTGTACAATTTCATCGAAATCGGTCGAGAAATGTCTACGTGAATAAATAGCATACACACACACAGACAGACAGACGCGCATGCGCGCACACACACAAACAGAAATACACAGACACGCACACACAAAGATCGTATGTTTTATATACACACACATATATATATATATAGAAAAGTGCCCCACCGTAAAATTCGGTATTAGTTATAAAAATCCGTTGTTATTTATGGGTTTTAAGAAAAAGCCCTTAAATACCCACGGTCCCCTTTTGTGGGAAGGTGGGCATTAACGAGTTAACTAAAAAGCCAGTATATAATGGGATTTCTCTTTACATCAGTAATAATGTTTACAATTACGGCGCATGCGACAGTGATGGAATGAATATTTTATTGAGGTTTTCTGAGTGAATAATATCGGTAAATAAAAAAACGTACGGATATATTTGAAGCATCATTACCACGTGAAAGCTCTTGGGGTTAATGTTTCGCTGAAGTAGAAATTAGAATATCGATATTTTAAATTAAATCCGACCGAAAATGGACCACTGCTGCCATATACGGGCAGGAGGTACACATTTTTCACTTTCCAGTTTCGATATAGTCCAAAAGTGTCTACGCGGCCTTGTGCGTGATGAATTATACCCCATCCTACAACAACTTTCCCAGTGATGGAACATTGTAAGTCTCTCGCTACTCTATTGCTATTTCCATGAAAATGATTCAGTTCAAACCTTCACGGCTAAGACCTGCCATGTCACGCACATTGTAGTGAATCACCCTCATAATCTTCCTTTTCCAATGGTGAGATGCACATTTTACTGAAGCAGCTACTTCCCACGAACTGCTGCTGTGTGGAACCGACTTCCAAGATGATGTGTCCCCAATCACCACAATCTTAACCTGTCGAGCGTTAACGGTTATCTTCCCTACATATTCCCATCAACTGTACCTCTTACTTTGTAACACTCTACCTCGAGCGGCTCCTGGGCCTTGAACATCTTTATAAAAAAAATGTCGTCTAACTCCTACTGTAAGATTAGCGGAAGGCTATCATCCAATAATATATCCCCGTTGTAATTTGTCCAGATTTTCAAGAACCGAGTAAATATCTTCAAGTTTAATGCATGCTTAATCTTGCTGTACAAATATTTTAATCTTGTTATTATTATTATTATTATTCTTATTATTAATCTCTATTAATTATTAATCATTACTAGCATATTAATGTTGTGTAATCTTTTAACATTTATAAACTATTATAAAAAAATATCTGTATTGTATGTAGATTCTACATATTTAGAGTATCAGTGAAGCACACTCGATGAACCTGTCCAATATCACAAATGAAGGTATCCGAATATAGAGGAAATAGTAAGCTTCACAAGTCCCGTGCCCTATTTAGGGTCGTTAAAAACAATGTGTACTGCGGTGATTGTGTCTAGAATAAGTTAACGTTCCTCAAGTGGATTTTGAAATCAGACCTGTCCTTTCAGACTATTTGCCATCCGCGGTTAGAGAGCCCGATGTGACTTACTATTAAGTAAGTGGGTTGAAGAGATGAATTCTTACTTTTCCCAAAAGAAATCGTATGCAACGAACTCGGCGATTTCAATTTCCCAGTCACCCATAAATACTCATCGTGTCATTTTTTGCGGTGGGGTGGGGTGGAGTGGTGAGGCTGGTATTAACGGGTTACGTGAAAAGCGAATTTTTGACATACGCTACACAACTCTTGCGCATTCCTCTCACTCGTCTTTGAATGAGGCAAGATTTATACTTTGCTCAGTGAGGACTGGCAAGGACGCATGCACGCACACACATACAGAGAGAGAGACTGAGAGAGAGAGAGACTGAGAGAGAATGAGAGACTGAGAGAAACTGAGAGAGAGAGAGAGAGAGAGAGAGAGAGAGAGAGAGAGAAAGAGAGACCCCTTTACTATTACCGAAGCAGGAAATTAGGAAAGGGTTTATTTCTAATAGTAAACAACTTTTGACATAAAGCCAGGTTCATTGAACACTCAACCTTTGGATATCAAACATCGTTATCCGATGATTTATGAGAGCACATTTTTAACAATCACTAAAGGAAGGTATCTCAGGAAAAGTACATTTCTGTAACAACATAATCTACTTCAGCAGTTATGTGGTATGTAAAACATTACGTTTTTTAAATGAAAAGAAATTCTGTTCGATTGTATATCATGTCATTTTATAAAAATCCATACGTACATAAACGAAAAAAAAAACCATCAAAAAACAAAACAAAAAAAAACGAAAAGTCTGAATGAATGAATGTGTCGAATATGTTGTAAAGAGCGAAATACTCAATTTCCATTAGTATGGATCAGATTCCCTTGTAATAACTTCCGAGATCAACAGACAGCCAATTGCATACAAAATGATGTGCGCGTAGTGTAACACGTATCGGTGAAGATAGTTGGAACGGCGAACCGGGTTCAAATTCCAAGCTTGTCCTTTATGTTCACTTTCTCATAAATACCATTGAGGAAGAAACGAATCCATCTATTTACCCCCCCCCCACCAGCTATGGGTAACGGTTCTAGTTCAACTGCCCTACCGAAAAGAGCTCGACGGCCAACTTCATGACGGACAACTGCCCGACTGACAAGAACCCGTCCTGGGTATGACGATAAACTACAACCACGTCCGAGGTATGACGATAAACTAAACCCGGCAGCAAGACCTCTGATCAGAAGGTTTTTGAGGAGCGTAGAACCACCTCATAATTGCTGGTGTTCCCAGATCCACTCTAACCCGGAGTGGTATCACCTTTTAGGGATCCCAACTATGGGCAAATAGTTAACCTCCAAATTGGAGTCAAAACATTATGAAAGTGTAAATATAGGTTTTAATACTAGCAATAGATTTTTGTAAAAAATATTACCAGTAATGAATTTCGAATAAAACAATTATTACCAGCAATACATTTTTGGAAAAAAAAAATCTTATCGGCATTAAATAACACATTGAGGTTGATATGGCATAGAACAAACCAAATCAAAACAAATCAAACTAACAAGAGCCCGACGTATAACTGCCCGATAATGACAATTGCTCGACGGAAAAATGCTTGATAGGGACAACTACCCGACGGAAAAATGCCCGATGTTTATATATATGGAGAATATTTAGATATTTTTGCTGTTATTCGAAAGGGAAAGTTATAGATAATAGCTAAACGTTCCACCCCCTACCCTTCTCATGGAGATGAAGACCCTATGCCCAGATGAAGCTTATTATTTGTTGGATACAAGATAATTTTGAGAACGAAACATTATGTCGTGAGTTTGCAAGAATTGGTTTATAAAATCATTCCTATTATTAGTTTCATTATTGCTTTCTTAATCAATATTTAAGATTATTATTACAAATTTGCATTATTTATATTATTGTTAAAATTATTATTGTTTCAGGAACATTATTATTATTATTATTATTATTATGAAACAAAAACAGTGATATCATAAATAATATATCAAAGGTTTAAAGCTATTAAAAACTTACTTTTTAGTATGATTGCCAGTGAAGAATAGAAGTGAAGAATCAAAATTTCTCTCTCACTTCAAAAAATTGGTTGTATTTTCAATGTGTAAGACCAGGAAAACTGCTATTAAACTGATTAAACTATGGCACTTTCAATTTCGAATGACAGCAACAATATCTAAATATTCTACACACACACACACACACACACACACACACACACACACATATATATATATATATATATATATATATATATAAACATCGGGTATTTTTCCGTCGTGCAGTTGTCCCTAACGGGCATATTTTGGTCGGGCACTTGGAGGCCTGACGCTTGTCAGTCAGGCAGTTGTCCAGATATCATGGGTAACATAGCTAATATGATAAAAAAGGCACTCTAGCTTTGCGTGGCAACCAATCCAAGAAAAAAAAATTGTCTGAATTGATGGTGGACAATCTCATCACAAACGGAGAAAAGGATTTAGACAGAAGTTTAATAGTTTGATTTTACTTATTGGCATATCAGAACTTCTGTGAGGTATTTACTGCGGAAATCTAAATATTTTGAACACAATGTTATGGCTTCAACTACAGATAAATGATCATTTTACTATAAAACATAGTGTTGGTAATCTATTATCTTACATTCACTCCCTGTAACCGCCTGCGTACTAGTGGCATTGCCGCCTTGCATGGGGTGAAAAAAAAATGTGTGTCGACTTTAAAGTTCACTACGTCATATTAGCACAAACACACTCGCCATAATTTCTCCCCACAGCTAGAGGTTAAATAGTCAGACAGAATGGATTCTTTAACATTGGTAAAGCAACAGGTTTAGGAGAAGGATAACACTGAACAACTACCATTGTGACGTCGTAACTCTATTCGATACAGGGGAATATAATGGCTCTGAGAAAGAAGAGAATGGAATAGAAAGTCTACATACAATGTCGAAAAAATTGAGTCATTATTGATAAACAAAAATGCTTTAAACAGCCTATGGCGGGTACCAAACTTTATTAATGTTATAAAAACGGACATTTTAAAATTGTATGTTTTTAACTGTTTCACCCCAAGCAAGGTTATAATTTAATTCGAAAGGAAATAAAAAAAATACTTTGTAAGAACAACGTTAAAAATAAAACAATTAATTAAGAGTAGCCAAGGATTCAGCAGAAGAAAAAATCACACTGCGATTACGTTAAGGCCCACCAGCCATTCCTTTTGTTTACAGAGGGAAGACTACCTAGATCTAATGTATAATGATGTATAATATTTTCAAATGGTAATTGGAGTGTCTTTTGCTGATTATTTTTTAAAAATGTTTTGAAAAAATTACTACTGTTCTTTCGAATATAATTCTGTTAATATTGCATATTTTAAACGAGATGTAATTTATAAATTATTAGTTGCACGGCATCGATTCGTCATGTTATAAAAGTATCAACATTTAGCGAGGAATTGGCTTCACTAAGTAGAGCCAACGTGTTCAACTGAACTCAGTAATATATTGTTATACATTCGGGAATTATTAATTACTAAAAATCAAATTTCCGCTTAGACTAAAAAGAAAAAGAATTAAATTGAATAAAAGCAGGCTACCTTCCAAGAGAACAGACTAAATTGGGAACAGTTTAAAGTGTATTGTTCATAGAATAGACGAAAACCACAATTTATCAGGTGATATGAGGTCTAGTCAGAAATATCCAGAATAATTCTAATAATAAACCAGTATTAAACATAAGATGTAGGAGACCTGTCCCCTATTAGAGTTCTTCAGTAACCACTGAAATCATAGCAGCAGTCTCTCAAGATCAAGGTAGACAGAAGGAGCCCATCACTCTTCATGCTGGATTTGAATTATATTTCTCCTAGGCTGGTTTACCTACAAGGCTAGAGATCAATGTCTGCCATACCATGAAACCCACAACATGGAGAAGAAGAGATGGATTCATATATTTCCCAAGTTTTTTTGTTTTTTTTTATTAAAGTGAATGTAAAGAATTTGGCCAGAATTCGAACTCGACTCTCCGATTTATTTTTACATTGCGCTAAATGTTACATTATTCGCACAATCCAATGAACTCACGGTGAAATCTCGCTTTAATCCCTGATTCTCGTTCGATCACCGAATTTAAACAATGTTGAGCACGGCCAGTACTTAGATGGGGGAACCACTTGAGAAGACTGGGCACTATAAGCATCATCCTATAATACGAAATATGCTTTGGTTTTAAATGATCTACACAGGGGTTCATAAACCGACTTGCACATTTCCTCTTTGGACAAATCTAAATTTATATTTTCCTCAGTGCGAACTCAACTCACAAACTGAGAGAAACTTTTAACCATCACCTTTATCAGCAATTTCGGAGAGGTTTAATTCTGGTAGCAAATAATGCCAGATTTATAAACGATAGACCAGTGAATACTGGTCAGATTACCCAAAGATTTAAGAGATTATCTTATAACAGTCATCAAAAGAAAGTTTAGGCCATCTTCAAAGTATTCGCTTTGGGACATTATATATATATATATATTGTTATACGTTCGCGAATTATTAAGCGTTCGTTCCCCTTTAGAAAACAGTCCGCAAAAACCTCTACGGGATCACCACCAGCTATTTTGTTACGTTCATCCATGGTCCGAAATCATCTTTCTGAAGATGATTTTAGAATTAGGAAAAGCGAATAGATTCAGGAAATTAAATTTGGATAGTAGTGTGGAGTGATAAATAGCGGCTCGGATTGAAGAATCGGAGAGTCGAGTTCGAATTCCAGTCAAATCCATTACATTCACTTACGTGCTAATACCCTTGGGAAAGGTATGAAACCTCTTCTTCTTCCCACTAGCTATGGCTAAATAGCAGGACAGGTTCTATAGTCTTGGATCGCAACTGGTCTACAGCAGAAAGAAATTGCAGCCTACTGCGGGAAAAAAATGTGCCTCATCAGTCATGTGTCCAAAGATACATGATCGCCTAAGCGTGTATCATGCATGGCACATAACTGAGTGTGGAGGCAGACTGAGGTGATGTTTCGGCTCCCAATCGTGAAGAAAAAGCAGCCAAAATATTCAAATGTGTCCATTATTTTCTGTCACAGCTCGAATTGGGGGTGAGTAATTTCTTTCATCGAGATGAAATCCGAGAGAAATTCATTTTGAAGTTGCTTTCCAGGTGGTTGGACCAGGTTGAGTTTTCCCTTCTCCGAGACCAGTTGTCCCACAAGGTTGTAAAATCCTGTCTGTCTTGCTATTTACCCATAGCTGGGAGGAGAGGATATGGCTTCATACATTTCCCAAGAGCTTTAGCCCGAAAGTGGATGTAATGAACTCTAATCTCCGATTCCACAATCCGAGCCGAAATCCATTGCACCGCTGTACCGTCTTGACCTTTTCATAGAAAGATAAAATGAGTTGGCTGGATAATATATCGGCTGTCAGGGTGTGATGTGATGAAAACGGCCGTTCGGCGAAATATACAGTCTTAAAACATTACCCATTTAGAGGATGATAAGCGAGTTTGGATTAGTTTACAGGCAAGTTTGATTGGACAATGCATGAAGATATAAACATCGGGACAGAGTAGCTTTTTCTGCTCAGATGGTAAAGTGATGTTA